TGTTTACCGTAGGTAAGGTTTCTTCATGTAAGACGTTAAAATTTTTTGCTCGTTAATGTAAGATGGACAAATACCTTGTAAAGCCAATATCTTCTACTCCGAAACGGACAAATGAAAATGAAACAAATGTGGGTAGAAGCGATCAAAACGAAACAAATACGCATTTGAGCAACCTAATGAGAATAGCTGATGAAAAAGTAGATGTAGAACATTTTCCATATGATGATGCAGCAAAAATATTCAATGCTTTAAAAATTAGAAGATGTTAAAAATGCATCATAATTAAAGAAATTTTATTTTTTTTTCAAGTCTCTTCACGTTTTTTTTTTTTAAATTTTTGAAATCTCACTTAACTTTTTGAAATCTCACCCTGTTTTTGAGAAAGGGTGAGAAATTCTCACCCATTTTTTTTCTGAGATGAAAACACTGATATGCATGATAATCAATCACTATTTGTAGAATATATTTATTTTAAAAAATATGTAAGGTAATGTTGTTAATTCTTAGCTTTTTTAATAAAATTTATAAAAAATAAAAAAAAGATTCTCAAGGTCCCCTGAGTGCCTGGGGCCCCAGAGCACTGCCCTAGCTTGCCCATGCGTAAAGACAAGCATACTAAGTTTTATACATACATTATATATAACTTATTATAATGAAGTTTTCTAATAACTGTAATAACTGTAAGTGAGCCTCCCTCCCCCTACTCATGCAACACCTATGATCATGGATACTTCCCAGGAAAATAATAAAACAATAAAAATAATATTATAAGAAAATGAGTAAATAACAAATATTCTTCTCTGAATCTTCATTCAACATTTGATTTAAAAATTTAAACTCTCTGGAAGCTATCCTAACTAAATACTTATAAAATAAAAAATATATTTAGCTCTTGCCTCTGCCATGCATGAAATAATAAAATAGTAATTTATTTTTATTAACTCCAAAACAATTTTATTTTAAAAGCTATTTCAAAATATTTACCAATTTATCTAATTTAATTTGTATTGATAAATAGAAATCTGTACTTAGCATTCAAACAAATCACGAAATTACTATTTAAAAAATATTTTAGTCATAAAATGGTATGACACTTTCTTGAATTCTCAATATTTCGAAAGTATTAAGCTTTGCACAAAAAAATTTCTTTATGATAAGGATGGAAAAAGATCGAAAATTTCCAAATTTAATTGAATAGAAATGGATGCTAAATAAAATATGATTTATCAAATACTTAAGAATTTATTTACTCTCTCTCTCTTGACTGTGAGCAAAGAGACGAGATAATAGATTCACAATGATACAAAGAAGAAATATTTGTCACTAAGTGTGAATAAATGAACAACGATTTTCACTCACCTCCTAGGCGCAAAATGTACGCTCGGTAGTATCTGCTCCCTTTCTCTTTCTCCCACAAATGCTTAGGAGGCAGGGATATACATTTCAACCTCTCATGATTTTCTTGATATTTTTTTAGTTCGTTTGACCAAAACACCCTGTACACTTTCTTCTCTTCATAGTCAGTAATATCATTGGGGAAGAAATCTTTGATAAATTGGGTAGGTATTTTGTAGTGGATGAGCCTGTCATCTAAATAGCATATGCAGGCGAACATGGCTATTTAAAATCTCTTTTTAATATATTCTAACTAAAATATATAAGGAAAGAAATAGAATAAAAAGTTTTCGATAAGAAAATGGATGAGATGAATAGAAGACAGGGACTACAATGATAGAAGAGATGGATGCTATGACTAAGTTGAGTTGTTAGGAAAATTTAGATTATTTTCTTATATACCAAAAGACAAAAGTTGTTTTCGAAAAGTTACTCAATTAAGAGAGAAGAAATTTTAACTAGATTTTCTTTAGAGAATAAAATTTTTCAATCAAGAAATTGCTGAAAAGGAAATGCTTCAAGTATTGTTTCTGTTGAATATATTCAACAAAACTACATGTGAAGCAGTAGATCCTCGGGGACCCTGCAAATCCCTAAATATCTGATACCTTTAATTTGTAATGAAATATCTTTTTAACTAATTTTTTGGGAATTCTGGGTCACTGTCCTATTAGCCCCAATTATAGCTACGCCCCTATAAAAAATAGTAGTTATTATGATACCCACTACATTTCTGAAAACAAGGCCCTTAAACTTCTAAAGCTAATACGATCGGAAAATAGTAGATGAAACGACAACAACAAAAAATTTATTCAGAAGGCAATAATTATTTTATTACTGAAAAATGGAAATTAATAGACCGGATCACCACAAGCATCGATCTCTGTCTTCAAGATGAGGTAGTACTTACTCCTCCCTCGAGAAACATATACTACAGAATTACATTCTGACGATTTATAAAAAATACCAGTCCCGCTGTTGACTGATCGTTAATACACGGATCGCAGGAGATCTTCGAAGTTAAGTATCATAGGCTGCGGGCAGTATGCGGGAGGGTGGCCACTTGGATTAGACTGCGTAGGGACCGAGGGTGCGCGGTATTGATCCGCGATAAACTGTTATACCGTAAAGTGCTTGACATTCCCCAAAATTGTGATGGCATGCTTTCGGATCATCCTCAGAGATGTTTCCCGGACCGTCGCCAATAGCCCATTGTACAGCTCTAGTGCACCTACAGTGAGCACACGCACACACAAATAATAATAAATGGATCATGCTGAACAACTTTTGATCTAATGATCGGATCTTTACGTACTAGAACTGAATCTTAAAGGTTCAAGGCGATGATCTCAAATATGCTACTTAATTAACCAATTATAATTCTGACCACCAAAATATAGGGGATAGTCGCAATTGGGGAATACGCTCCCCATAGTTGATTGTTACGAGTGCGGTTAAAAGTTTGAAACCCTTAATATTAATTTTTCTAATTTCATATTTCGTCAAAACTCAAGAATTTTTTAAGCGAATTGGGAATTATGAGGATCATATTTCCCAAGTTTCGGCTATATCTTACATTTTGACTACTTCTTATATTACTTCATAAAAGAGTATATTTATTAAGAGCTTTAATTTGCTTATTTGAGGTCACCCCCTCGAACCATTCAGATTAAGTCCTGACGCGAAGTTCTGATCATTAGATCAAAAGTTATTCGTTGTATTCCGTTTTTACTTCTTTTTCTCTTCTTTTTTGTGCTCTGTACATTGACAACGTCAACATCAAAATATGTAGAAAAACTTTTATCACTTATTAATTTTTATGAATTATAAAATCGTATAACGATATGCAAAGACTGTTCGTTTTTAAAAAAAGTATCTGATCTGATTTGTGTGCACACAATCATATTCATAAATATGAACCTGTTTCCCTTCTTCCGACTTCAGGGCTGGAAAAGGGACCCCTAACAGTCATAGGGGCTTTATAATTTAGAATATTCCAGCTAAGAGTGGGCAACAATTTTTTAAAAACAAAATTGACATTTTTAATGAATCATTAAATCTTTTAGAAATTTTAGAGATGGCCGTGATAGTCTGGTAGGTAAGACGATGGGCCCATGTCCAAGGGGTCGTGGGTTCCTTCCTCGCCGGCCGAAGACTCCCCGCGAAGTAAATGGTAACTGGAGCTCGTTAAATTTATCGGGTCATAAAGTCCTCTATGTTCCCAAAACAAATCATACCTCCGAAGGCACTGAATTGGAGATTGATCGTTGTCTGATTCAGGTCAAAAATATGTTCTGCATATGGATAGATGGTGTGTTAATGTGTTCTCCCTGTAAATGGGGTGCGACGTATATATGTTGCTCCGGATCGTTCTCAGTAATGTTTCCCACACCATCGCCAATAGCTCATTGCGCAGCTCTAGTGAGACATGACTAAAGGAACGAAAAAAAGTTTTTAGAAATTTTTGAAGTTAAGATTTTAATTTTTTGAAGAAAATGGGAGAAACGGAGGAGTACCGATCTGTATTCTAGTTAGTACTGATAAAAAAAAAATTCTTTTTACTACAAACTAAATTATTTATTTTGATGGTTTCACATCTAACTTCAAGTGTTCGATGCGTCAATCTGATACAATGAAAATTATCTCTTGGTTTATTTTTTTTTTTAGTTTTTATTGAAATTACATACATTTGCTGACTTGTGTGCTCAATATAGGCTTATAAGTCATTGTCAAGTAGAAAATACAGATAGAACAATTCAGAGAAAGACATCACAAAGAATACATCCAGGGTTACGGCGGGATTCGAACCCGCTACCTCCACGCTTAACAGAGCGTTTGGACCGGCGATACCGCTCGGCCAGGGAGGCCCCAAATCTCTTGGTAAAAAGAAAAATATCAAGAACAACTCCACTTATAACGAAACCAACATTTATTAGGCGCCAAAACTGTTATTCGATCTCTTATATTTTTGCTTTTGGTTCGATTTTTCGTATGATTTTATTATCAGTTTTTATTTTAAAAAAAAGTCCTTTTCAGGACTATTCTTAAGTTTTAATTTTGTTTTGTTATTGTTTTTTTTTAACTTTTAATTGTTTTGTTTTTTTACTTATTATTTGTTGTTACTTCTAATTGTTATTTTTAAATACGATTTATTTTTTTTTGACAAAGACTTAGTTTAATATTTCACAAGCATATTTTTAATATGCCTCGGAAAATTTATAAACAATATTTAGAGCCGGATTCTGATGTCTCTGTTCCCCGAAATACGTTACATCGACGCAAGATTGCGCTTAAAGAATCGCTAGGAACACTCTCATTAGGTCAAGAAGTATCAAGGTAAGTTGCAAATGTTACTTGTATATTATTATTAGATCTACATTTGTTTGGGAGACCGTGCTAAATTTTTTAAATTTTCAGATCTGACACTCTAAGGAAACAGAAGGTTCAGGAAGGACCATCACTTTTGCCAGAGAGCTCCAGAAACACTGAAGAATTCTTAGATCAAAGGGAAATGATTGATGAATGTTTTTTTTCTGAGGACCCTAATAGTGATGATGATAATGAAGAACAAATACCTTCAGTAAGAGATGTTAAACATTCTATTTACGTTACATCCTATAGGATAGCCATTTCAAAACTATTTATGTTTTTATGCAATAAGTGACCGACACTATTGAATTATTCTTACGAAAGAGCCCAATTTGCTCTGTTTTGATATTTTTTTGTTTCGCCAAAGTAAATGGTTGTGTTTGCTATTTAAATGGCTGCTATACAAATAAGTGACCGACACCATTGAATTATCCTTACGAAAGAACCCAATTTGCTCTGTTTTGATATTTTCTTGTTTCGCCAAAGTAAATAAAGTGGTGTTTACAATCAAAATTACTGTTATCTGAATTAATGTATTTCAAAGGGTCAAAAAATTTTATAATATGCAAAGTTATTACCAAATTCAACCTAATATTCAAAGGAACTAATCATTTATTAGAAGTAATTTTATTTAATTTAAATAAAGTTTAAAGTTGCAAACAGCCATTTCCAGTATTGCTGTTTTTTAAAAATGCTTTCAAAAGGATACTTGAATAAAACCAATTACAGTAGAGTCTCGAAAATCCGAGGTAATTGGGGCTGACACTATCTCGGATTACTGAAAACTCGGATTTTCCGAAAAAGTAGAAAATTTTTAACAGCTACAAATGAAATGAAATAAAATGAGCATATTACCTTAAAATCCTTTATTCTTTAGTAGAATGACATAAAAGATTCTTTACAATTTAAAAAAATTGTCAATTTTTTGTTGCTTCTGTATATTACTTCTCTTTGTTGATGCGATAGTCAGTCAACGCTTCAAAAGAAAAACATCTGCAGGGGTGGCTTCAGTTTGCTATTCTACATATTTTAAGGCTAGTTCTAAGGCTGCAGAACCTTCACTATGAGATATTTTTTTTTCTGATAACGGAGAGTCGTTTTCTTCTGTTTCATATTCTTCCTCATCTTCCGTCATTTCTATAATACTTGAGTCCTATTTCCAGCTTGTCGTCACTATTTAGCCATTCATTTAGATCAACTGCATTAGAGCTTTCGCAGCCTGGTAATTCCTTCACCAAATCTTTCAAAACAATTGTTTCACTATCATCATTAATTTTCTCTATAGGCGTAACCAATTCAGGTAGAAACTTAGTCCACGATTTAATTACTGTCGTAGGTTGAACTTCTTCCCAAGAATCTGCTATCCAGTAGACAGCATCTCTTAGACTTACATTCCTCAAGACATCCGCAACACTTTCATCATCAGACTGAACTAAATGTTGTAACAAACGGTGTCGATATTTTTTCTTTAAATTTTCCAATACGCCCTGATCCATTAGCTGAATCAAACTTGTAACATTGGCAGGAAAAAATATAGCACGGATTTCACCACAACGTAGCTCATCATCGTCCGGATGAGATGGAGCGTTATCTAAAAACAAAATTGCTTTGCAAGGCAAATTTTTTTTCTCAATGCCTTCCGTGTTTCTGGAACAAAATGTTCTGAAAACCATAGTTTGAAAATTTCTCGATTCATCCATGTACTTTTCTGATTTGTGTAATGTACTGGTAAGGCTTCTTTAGTGATGTTTTTTAAGACTCTAGGTTTGGCAGATTTCCCAATCACAGTCAGTATGCACAGCTGACGTATCTGCCGAGAGTATTTCACTGCAAATATTTAGTTGACGTACACCATATCGTTTTTTCCAACGGTCTAACCAACCAACGCTTGTTGCGAAATCTTCTTCTCCTTCTTTGAACTGATTTCTGAAAAACACAGCTTTTTCCTGAAGAATAGGGCTACTTATAGTTGTACCTTTGCTACGCTTTTGGTTGCTAGGGGGAAAATTTGGCACCTCGAATTAAGCGGAACCTCGGACTTCTGAGACTCGAACTTTCGTGTCTCTACTGTATTGGTTTCTCTTATTTTTTTTCTGAAATTAATGCTATTTTTATTTTTCAGGTTTTTGATGATTCTGATTCTATTTTCGAAAGCTCCTGTAATTTCAATCAGAAATTCTTAGAAATGATTGAATCAAAAGTTAAAATCTCAAAAGGCGAATTGATTGTGATGATTCTCAACTTTGCTCTTCGTCATCATTTGTCTGATGTTGGAGTAAACGACTTATTGGAAATGTTTAATGTTATCCTAGGGAATAAACTTCCAAAGACATCTAGTACCCTCTATAATGTTATTGGCACCAAGTCAATTAACTCGATGAACCATCACTTTTTCTGCCATGTTTGTTTCAAGTACGTTAGTACTTTATCAACCGATGAAAAGACGGTTCAGTGCCACGTCTGTAATGTGGCTGTCAATACTTCAAACCCGCAAAGAAATAATTCTTTTATAAGTGTGGACTTGAAAAGTCAGCTGACTGAAATTGTTGAAAACAATGATGCACTTAAAGCTAAACTTTCTTCTGAGCCTACTATTCGAGACTCAGAAATTTTTGAGGATATCGTTGATGGAAGACTCTACAAAAAGCTGCAAGATGACCACAGTGGACAGCATATACTGACGTATAACTTCTCTTTAGATGGCATGGCCATGCATAACAATTCAAAAGGTTCAGCATGGCCAATCTTTGTTTCCCTGAACGAATTGCCTCTAAAGGAAAGAAATAATCATGTTATGCTTGCTGGTTTGTGGTTCGGAAAAAAGGAACCAAAATTTGAGGTTTTTTTAAAACCCTTCACTGAAATGGCTTCAGATCTAGCTATCAATGGCTTAAATGTTCACTTGGCTGATAAAAACATTAATGTGAAGGTGATTCCGGCTTGTTGTTGCTCAGACTCAGTAGCTCGGCCTTGTTTACAAAATAGCATCCAGTTTAATGGGTTTTATGGTTGTTCGTGGTGTCTGCATCCAGGCTTCAATGTGGATGGAACAATAAAATATAGTATTCGTAATGATGTAATTTTCTTTGAGGATAGAAATGAAGAAGAAACAGCAAAGCTTGCCACAGAAGCAATAAAATCTGGCAGATACCAGTTGGGTATTAAAGGCAGATCACCACTTGCAGTAATACCCCACTTCAACGTTGTTCAAGGCTTTTCGCCAGATACCATGCACAGTGTTTTCTTGGGCGTTTGTAAAAGAATTGTATCTTTATGGTTAGACACAACCAACAAAGATAAAGATTACTACATTGGTAATCCCAAGTGTATTAAAGCTATGAATGCGAAATTATCCAATGTAGTAATGCCTCAATGTGTTGGACGTGTCCCACGCTTGATGTTTGAAAGAAAGTTGTACAAAGCAAACGAATGGAGAAACTTTCTCTTATATGTCTGCATTCCAGTTGTCAGGGATGTTTTACCCACAGAGTATGTTGACCACATTAGTCATTTAATTGGATCCATGTTCTTGCTCTTACAAGAATCTATAAATGTTCAAGATTTGCAGAAAGTGGATGAGCATTTAATAAAATTCGTTGCTGGGGTGCAATATTTGTATGGCGAGAGTGCCATGACTTTTAATGTTCATTCACTTTTGCATTTAACCAAAAGTGTGTTAGATTGGGGACCCTTGTGGATCCGATCTATGTTTCTTTATGAAGGGGCAAATGGAATATTGCGAAAGTTCAGCACTGGTCCGACTGGCATTGCAAGCCAAATGGCAAGGCGATACCTTCTCAATAATGAACTAAAATCAAAACAAATGCTTAAAAAATGCTGCCCAGAAGTTGTGCAATATGTTGCACAACTGAATAGCAACTGCAAGAATGGAATAGGAGTAAATGTGGGAAATGTTGTTTTGTTTGGATTTTGTAAAAAGCCTGAAATATGCAGTGAGTATGAGTATTCACTGCACAATGCAGGAGAGTTTTCTTTTTATTCTAAGTTTTTGATGAACAATCAAGTGTTTAGTATTAAAAAATCTGAACGTATTATATATACTGATGATAATAGCATGGGCTATATTGAAGCAATTGCTGCTAATGCAGATGCTAAACAAATATATGTTTATTTTTATAAGCTTGATAATTTAACCCTTTTGCATGAAAATATTGCATCATCTTTCTTTACTGATGGTAAAGGTACAAGGACAATACTTCATGTAGACAACATCTGTGGAAAATGTTGCGAAATTTACACTGGTGAAAATTTTATTTTGACAAAAGTGGTCCATAATTTTGAATGTATCACTTAAAAGTCTATTTTTATTCTATTTTATGTTCCATCATCATTCTTAAAATTTATATAATTTTTTTATTTAATATTTAGGAAATATTTCCATTACATTTTCTGTTAATTAGCTTATACATTTTTCCATAACTTTCTCTTCAAAATGGTTAATACATTTATTTGAGATATAGTTTTCACATTATGATTTTTTACTTCAAACCAAATGGCTTGGAAATGTGGTAAATATAAAACTTTTGTTGCCTTTTCTACTATATATGTTCCACTTGTAAAATCATAAATTTGGCCTCAGTAATTATCCTTATAATGTAAAACTTCTTTATTTTTATGTGAAAAATTTTGAATAGCAAATTTAAATTTTAAAATCTTTAGTTTAATAATAATTTAGTCAATATATATATATATATATGTTTGCAACATGAAAAATCAAAATATAGTTTTATATTATGTGCATCTAACGTTCTTGAAATAAAATGGTTTGTGAAGGTTGTAATGACTTTAAATGTAGATTAGTAAGAGTGCTATTCCAATTGGTCCATTGCCTGTTAAAAATAATATTTTTTTTATCCATCATAAGATAATGAATAGTGTTGGTCCATCAATAACTAATGTCACTTGATGATGGCTGACCAGGAAAGAAGTGAAACATCAACCATCATATGATGATAGATGGTATTATTCTATCATGAACTTGATGGTTGGTCAGCATAAAAGTAATAAAGGTATAAACCAAGATTTGCAAAACCCAGAGTTTTTAATAAAAACCCTGCTCATAATTTTCTTTTTTTTTTTCCTTCCTGAAAAAACCAGATTTTGCCTGAGGAGAAGTGGGTCATTTTATGAAAAAAACCAAAAGATTGCTAAGTTTTTAATCTAGGGGTATCCGCGCATCTGGAAAGTCATGAATTTCAGTAATGAACAAAATTTGCCATGAAATGTCATGATTTTAACTATTTTTTAAAAAAAAAATCGTGAAAAGTCATGGATTTAAGCCGCCTAAAAATCAAATTTTTAAAATGGAATTTACCCTCCTCTCCAGTATCATGGTGTTCAGAATATCTGAATTTGTAATAAAATCTCCATTCACAGTCATATTTGATTAAAATATATGTTTTTACCCTGTTCTTTAAAAATTATGGTTTTCTTTCAAAAACATTTCTAGAGCAATTATCTTTTAAACTTCTGTGATTTCAGAATTTTTGTTATTATTTATTTTTCTTATTTTATAAATTTAAAATTCTAGCTGAAGCAAGCCAGTCATTGGCGAATTGCTTTATTTCGAAATGAGTGCAGAAAAATCAGGAATATTTCTTTCCTTTCTGATGACCAAGAAAAGTATCTTTAGAATGTAATTCTACAGAAAAAAAAGAAAATATTTGTTTTTATATTTCTTTCATCTATTTTATTACTTTAACTCTTTCTTTACTCTATTTTTTAAATTTAAAATCTACAAATATGAAGATGCAGAGTATAACAGTTTTGATTATACCTATCATTTCAATGAATGTTAATGTTATTATAATGCTTTTTTAAATTTATTGTTGTGTTTTTGTCAGAGAAAATAGTAACTTCGTTTAGTCATGAAAAACTCTTGTAATTAATCATGGAAAGTCATGAATTTGAAAATCTAGAATGTACTTTAAAAAATATTGTTTATTACCAAATGGATGATTAAAAGGAAAGGTTCTAAAAATTACTTCAGTCGTTTTTCTGCCTTCTACATGTATCATGATAAAGTTGTTGAAAGTTGTTTTGTAAAATGTCAAGCGTAATGTTGTATGATGAATATTAAATTGTAAATAAACATTCAAGAAATAAAATTTTTTATTTTTTAATGTTTAAATTCGTTATATATCCTACAATGTTTAAAAGATTCTTAACTTGTATCTTTATTATACTTTTTTTCTCTTGAAATGAATGAAAAGAGGCAATAAATTTTAAACAGTAGTATTTTAATTATATATTTTAAGATTTTACTGCACATGCAAAAATACTCACGAAATTTGAATAATTATTATGTATGAATATATAATGAACAACCAATATCTTTCTACACTATGCATTCACATTTCATTAATAATTTCATTATATGTTCATTTTATAATTTAATCTCTTTTTTATAATTAACAAAATTTTACCAAATGAAACACCAGCAAACAAAAATAAGTTTCAAAAAATTTTAAGTAAAATACATTTTTAGTAAATGTTAAAAAAAAAAACTTATGTGTCATTACAATTTTGTCCAACTAAAAATTTAAAATATTAGAAACACATTTTAATTTTCTCATAGAGCATAAAGAAGTTTTTCTGAAATGAAATGTTCTGATAAGCGATGATATATATATATAAGCATTCCCAGATTGCTGACTACCATAATTGTAAAACAACATTTTCCATCTTATTGGCTCTTAAAAGCATACCTTGTTGTTTGACCAACATAATAGCCATACAACATCTCCCATTCTATTTTGATGGTTACTGTTGGTCCAACAATAATAAACATTACTTGCTGGTCCACCATCATAATTGTAAAACAACAATTTCCATCATATTTTGATGGTTGTTGTTGGTCCATCAACAGTAAACATACCATGTTGGTTGACCATCATAAAAGAAATACAACATATTCCATCATAATGTGATGGTTATTGTTGGGCCAACATTAATATACATAACTTGTTGGTTGACCATCATAAATGTGAACCAACAATTTCCATTATATTTTGATGGCTGTTGTTGGTCCATCAATAGTAAACATACCATGCTGGTTGACAATCATAAAGGGAATACAACATATTCCATCATAATATGATGGTTATTGTTGGGCCAACATTAATGCACATGACTTGTTGGTTGACCATCATAAATGTAAACCAACAATTTCCATCATATTTTGATGGCTGTTGTTGGTCCATCAATAGTGAACATACCATGTTGGTTGACCATCATAAAGGGAATACAACATATTCCATCATAACATGATGGTTATTGTTGGGCCAACATTAATGTACATAACTTGTTGGTTGACCATCATAAATGTAAACCAACAATTTCCATCATATTTTGATGGCTGTCGTTGGTCCATCAATAGTGAACATACCATGTTGGTTGACCATCATAAAGGGAACACAACATATTCCATCATAACATGATGGTTATTGTTGGGCCAACATTAATATACATAACTTGTCGGTTGACCATCATAAATGTAAACCAACAATTTCCATCATATTTTGATGGCTGTTGTTGGTCCATCAATAGTGAACATACCATGTTGGTTGACCATCATAAAGGGAATACAACATATTCCATCATAACATGATGGTTATTGTTGGGCCAACATTAATATACATAACTTGTTGGTTGACCATCATAAATGTAAACCAACAATTTCCATCATATTTTGATGGCTGTTGTTGGTCCATCAATAGTGAACATACCATGTTGGTTGACCATCATAAAGGGAATACAACATATTCCATCATAACATGATGGTTATTGTTGGGCCAACATTAATNAAATTTTAAAAAATTGTGTTTGCGAAATAACATATATAAAAAATGAAATTAAACTCCCCCCCCCTCCCTTAGTCAGTAGTTCAAAGCATGTGTTCTATAATCATAAAGACACATGAAAAATTGCAGACATTAAAATCAACACGAGATGGTGCTTAAGGTGGTGCAGAAAAAAATCTGATTTTGAGATAAATGCATTTAAAGACTAAAAATCATTAGTTTATCCACTGCTATCACCTTGCAAAAAAACTGCTCTAACTTTGTAAATAACTGCAGTAAAAACAAAAGTAAAACATTTTTAGAAAGTTACAAGTAGAGAGATTCTAAATTTATAATAAACTCAATTTCACCCATAATAATGTTATTGCCCATGTCAGATACTTTAAAGACATTTTCTCAGCCATTAATCTGACAAACTCCTTTTAGCTTAGCTCCATTAAAAATTTCTTCAAAACTTTGAAATTAGCAGGCTTCACAGAGAACTGAACAATAAAATGAGTATAAAAGAATGTCACATAGAAACGCAAATATAAGTTAAAAATTAATCCATTCTTTATTATCACACAGGTACAACATTACAACAGAGTCACTTGAATATATAAATTACAAGATGGTTTTCATAAAAGATATCACTGTGTTTACAAATGACTAGATTTAAAATTTGATGTTTTCCATTTTTTAAATAAATATGTTTTGGTCCAGAACGTGGTTTTAAAATTCAGAAATTGCTCGTTGCTACAGATCACACACATTATATTTTCAGTTATTCTCTCATACAAAAGGAATGTTTCAGACCATATTTACATATATTTTTTATTCCAAACATCATTTGTTTTCCAATGCAACAATAGGAATGCAAAATAATTCTCAATAAATTTTAAGAACATAATGATATACCTATTTCTCAATCTTGAAGCATTTATTTGATAAATTAACTACAACAACAACTACGAGCAACATGCAATCATTTTAAAAGGTACGGTCTACCGCCTAACTATGCTTCCACTAAGTCAGTGTTTCCCTAAACTTATGACTTTTGTGTATCCTTTCTACATTTTTCGTAACGCTGTGTACCACTAAAAAAAAATTAATGCATTTTTTACTGTTAAAAAAATTACACAAAAGTTAAAAATCACAAATGGCTGTTGACACCACTAATTATTAACTGTTAGCTCTGCAGAAAATAGACAATAGAAAAATACGTAATCGTAAATTTTCATGTCTAGCTTTGTTTTTAAACAATTTTTTTTTAAATTTTCGTTTGTTGAAAGATATTTCGAATAAGAACGCGTACCCCTGGGAGTATGCGTACCACACTTTGGGAAACACTGCACTAAGTGATTCCGTGCTACATTTGACTATGCTCGCGGTTACATAACGGTGGGCAATTAACAATTTTTTGTAACGCACGTTATATTTAAAAATCGGTTCAAATTAAAGTATGGGCATCATGCTTTCCTTAAATAATCATATAGTAGCCATGAATCACATTTGCTAATCTCCAATTAGCTTCACCACCACTCGTATAAAAAACATCGATCAAACTTCATTTTAAATTTTTCTTAATGAGTCTACTAAATGAGCTTACTTTTTCTCCTGTCGATGAAAATAAGTAGGTTTGTCACTTGAAAATTTCAAATTTTATTTACTGTAACAATTTAAAGTTTGATTATTTTAAATCATCATCTCAAATAACACTGCATTAATTTGATCTTAATTGGTAAATCGGATAGGCTGTTCGATGTCCCATACAGAGCACGTTTTTTACGACTACCACAAAATTGGGTCTTTTTGCAGTCAGAAACATTCTTCTCCCTCGACTAGACATAACTTTTTTAATCGTCATTACTTAGAAACAATGAATTAAATGACAATAAAGCACAATGGGAAAAAGTAATGAACACTTGCTTCAGCAACTGATTCTACTTCATTAACTCTCTACTTTAAAATTGCAGGTTTGAATCCACACTTGAAGTATCTGACTAGTTTCGACAACTTTTTTAAAAAAACATTTATAAAATTTTGAAAAACTAGTTTGTTTTATTATGTGTTAAAAAGTTAAAAAACAAACAAAAGAATTATCATTATTTTTTTTTTATAAGGTCACATATAGGTAAAAATACGGTATATATATATATAATTTTTTTTTTTTTGCATTTACGTTATACACTGTAAAAAAAAATTTGAATTGCCTAAAAAAAAAAAATTTCGGATTTTACTTAGAAGGTTATCAACTATATTTTGAACTATTATCTTAAAAGCAAGTGTAAATACTACTGAGTTAGGGATCAATGTAGTTAAAGTAAAATTTTAAAAAATTGTGTTTGCGAAATAACATACATAAAAAATGAAAGTAAACCCCCCCCCTCCCTTAGTCAGTAGTTCAAAGCATGTGTTCTATAATCATAAAGACACATGAAAAATTGCAGACATTAAAATCAACACGAGATGGTGCTTAAGGTGGTGCAGAAAAAAATCTGATTTTGAGATAAATGCATTTAAAGACTAAAAATCATTAGTTTATCCACTGTTATCACCTTGCAAAAAAACTGCTCTAACTTTGTAAATAACTGCAGTAAAAACAAAAGTAAAACATTTTTAGAAAGTTACAAGTAGAGAGATTCTAAATTTATAATAAACTCAATTTCACCCATAATAATGTTATTGCCCATGTCAGATACTTTAAAGACATTTTCTCAGCCATTAATCTGACAAACTCCTTTTAGCTTAGCTCCATTAAAAATTTCTTCAAAACTTTGAAATTAGCAGGTTTCACAGAGAACTGAACAATAAAATGAGTATAAAAGAAAGTCACATAGAAACGCAAATATAAGTTAAAAATTAATCCATTCTTTATTATCACACAGGTACAACATTACAACAGAGTCACT